AGGCAGAACAGCGAGGTCGGGGAAGAGAGAGGGAGGGAGTGAGAGCACACACACACACACACTCAACTCGACACGAACTCGACACGACTCGACGGACACGGACACAAAGTGGCAAAGTGGCAAAGTCACAAAGTCGCAATCTTGGTTCCGTACACAATGTCGCAGCAAGTCACACCGAAGCACGAGCACTGAGGCTGAAAACTGAGTTCCCGAACTCAGCTTGAGTCCGGTCTTAAGTACTGGAATCAAGTTGAGTCCGAGGGCAAAAGTGCAATTTGCCTCGGGGCTGATCTGAAAATTGAAGGTATGAGCTTGGGCGCCAGAATGCCAGATGGCGCCAAGTACGAAATACGAAAGTGGTAGAGGCAGGATTTGAGAACAAGCGCCAACTGCATAGGGCGCCAATAGTCAGGAGCCGGAGATTCGAGACTCCAAAAAAATAGAATAGCAGCCTGGCGGGTGGTAACCCCCGGACCGGGGATTGAGCCCTGGTTGGGTCCGTAACACTCCCCTCCCTCTAGAAGGCAACGTCCCGACTGCCAAAGACCCAATGAACAACTGTGAAGGACGGGACGGGCCCGATCACTGGTCAGAAAAGGAAAGAGGGAGTAATGCAAGTAGCAGGGTAATCCTATGGGGGTTCTACAGGGATGAGGGAATCAATGTTCAAGTGACCGGGTAATCCTATTGAGGTTCTATAGGGATGAGGGAATCAATGCTAAAGTAACAAGCATGGCTACGCCGGACCTGGACCCGGACCCGGACATTTCCGGACATGGAACCGGACCCGTGTCCGATAGTTTTCGGACGTCCGGAATGCCGGACATTTCCGGACCTCCGGACATGGGGGGATCCGGACGGTCCGGATGTCTGAACAGGTCCGGAAATGTCCGGACCATTAAGAAAAAAAAAAAAAAGAATCTGAAAAAAAAGTATGCTATGCAGAATAACAATGCAAACCACTTTTGCCTCAGAGTCATGTCAGAATTCCTAACCAAACTTAAGTTACAAGTCAAAAACTATAAAAAAGCTTTAAAAAAGACTTAAAAAACTAATAGAAGGTAATGAATTATTAATAATTAAAAAAATGGGGTTGTCTAATAAATTGTTATATAGAGAGAGCATGTCCGGACCCCCCCAAAAAGCATAAATGGGCCTGAAAACCCCCCAAAACAATTTTGGGGGCTTGGCTCCTCAATGGGGAAGGGTCCTGGACCGTTTTTTTTTTTTTTTCCCCCCTCGAAATTTGGCAGATCCGGACCTTCCGGACCGGACGTTTGGAGTCCGGACTGAATCCGAACCATCTGGACGGCGGTGCGGACGTCCGGATCGTAGCCATGGTAACAAGGTAATCTTACTGAGGTTTTACAAGTAACAGGGAGGTCCTATTGGTGTTCTACAAGGTTGTAGGTTGTCAGGTTTGAGAAAGAAATACAAAAAAAGAAAATTGTTTGTTCAATGCTCAAGTGCTAGGGTGTCTGAGGGTCTGGGAAAACAACGTCTCAGGTCTGTAACAAAGTGTCAAAAGCGAAGAAATGTCTTGAGGAAGGTCTTGGAGGGTGTCGCAGAAGTGGTGGTGAGGAAACAGTCTTCAACAGTTCCGTGATGTAGACGGCGAGGACTTCAGGTTGATTGTCGCAGTAGCAGGTTGCGTCCAGCATGGTGGCCAACCAGTTGTCTTATCTCCTCGTATTGAGCTGCAGCATGCCATCGTCCTCGTGCGCTTGCCATTAGATCCATTATCGTTGGCGATGCGCAGGGGCCACATAGAGAACTTGGACAAGAGAGACATGGATATGGCGGAGGACACATGGGAGAACGGGGCAAGGCGGAGGCAAGAGCGGATCACACGGGGGGGGGTTCAAGAGGCAAGGGCTTCGCTGGGTACAGGGGTGTGTGTAGAGCAGGAATGCGGGGTTTTGGCGGGGTCAAGTCGGGGTTTATGCAAGGGTTTAGGGTTTGGGTTATATTATGTATATAGGATATAGGGTGAGCATGATCATATGCGCGAACAAGTTTCATAACATTCTTAAGGTTAGCAAGAGGTTCCCATGTGGATTCTTCGTCAGGGTATCCAATCCATTTAACTTTGTATTCTGTGATTGGTTCCGGATGGTCTGATACTTGTGTGGGTCGTCAGCCTATGATGGATTCTACTACGAATTATGGGCTTGTGGGAAGCATGATCGGTGGAGGTCTAGGATATGGGCGGTCAGGGAATTGGGGTGGGGATTCATGGTGTTCTTTTAGGTATTCTACATGGAAGACAGGGTGGACACGACTCATGTCAGGAGGGAGTTGGAGCTTGTAATTGACGTGGGAGGTTTGTTCACTGATGGGGAAGGGCTCGAGCCACTTGTTCGAGAGTTTTTTTGACAAGCCGTGTTCGGGTTCAAAGCGTTTGGCGGAGCACCAAACTTTGTGCCTTACTTTGAACGTTACGTCGCGTCTGTGTTTGTTGGTCTTGTTGGGTTGTTGTTCTTGTGTTCGTTCAAGGGCTTCGATAGCTTCTTTGAGGAGTTTGTTCATTGTTGCTACCCATTCATTGAGAGAAGGGCAGGGGGTGGAGGGGTTGAGGTGCGAGGGGAGCAGGAAGTCAGAGGGCAAGCGCAGATGATAGCCAAGGTCAAGGTAGAATGGGGACATGCCAGTGGAAGGACATGCAACATTGTTATGGGCAATTTCGGTGGCGGTGAGCAACTGATCCCAATCGTGTTGATGTGGATGACAATACTTCCACAAGATTCTTTGGAGAGTATCGTTCATCTTCTCGGTTTGTCCACCGGTCTGTGGGTGGAATGCAGTGTTGTACTTGAGCGTGGTTCCGTAGACTTTAAAGAGGTGTTTCCAAAATTGTGAAAGGAAGCGAGGGTCACGGTCGCTGATGATGTTCTCGGGGAGACCGTGGTGGCGTGCGACATGGTCGAAGAAGAGAATGGCGACGTCCTTGGTGTTGTGCGATGTGGTGCAAGGGATGAAGTGTGCGCGTTTAGTCAAGCGACAAACAATGACATAGATGCAATCATGTCCACGGTCGGTCTTGGGGAGACCACAGACGAAGTCCATGGAGATAGACTGCCACCAGTGGGTGGGGATCGACAATTAATGTAGTTTGCCGGGCTTGGCGTGGTTTGAGGGGTTGACGGCTTGACATGTGGGGCATGAGCGAATGTAGGCTTTGACGTCGGCGAGTAGGGAAGGCCAGTAGAAGTAACGAGAGATGGTGTCGAAGGTTTTCTTGAACCCGAGGTGTCCTGCAGTCTTGGCGCCGTGATGCTTGGCCAAGAGCTGGGTGCGGAGGCCACGTGCGCCGGGGATGCAAAGTCGGCGAGTGCCTTTGGTGTCAATGTAAAGAAGTTGGTCGTGAAGGGAGTAGTCGGAGACTGAGTTGAGATCACAAAGTTTGTTGTAGATTGTTGAGAAATCTGGACAAGAGAGGTAGCCTTGGGTGTAGCGGTTGTGGAGCGGTAGGAGTTGGATATGAGTCATGGCGGTATAGACTTTCTCGGAGGGTTTGTGGTCGGGGCGTCGAGAGAGGGCGTTGGCAACACGGTTGCTTTTGTTGGGGGTGCGGCAAATGGTGAATGTGAATTGGGCAAGAAAGTCTAACCAAGGGGCTTGGCGCGGAGTGATGTCCTTTTTGGTGAGGATGGAGGAGACAATGGTGTTGTCCATGCAGATGGTGAAGTATTCCCCATCGAGGTACGGGCGCCAGACTTTAAGGGCATGGATCACGACGAGGAGTTCCTTCTCGTTGGAGGGGTAGTTCATCTCCACGGGAAGGAGCTTCTTGCTAGCGAAGGCGATGGGGTACTCGCCGGGTGGAGCCTCGGGGTGGGTGGGGGAGTCTTTGATGGAGGGGGTTTCAGAGATATCGCGAGGGAGTTGTTGGGATAGGACGGTTCCAAGGGTGAATTCGGATGCATCAGTGGTAATGTAGAAATGTCGAGAGGGGTCGGCGATCTTGAGGACGGGGGCCGTGGTGATGGTTTGTTTGAGGAAGTCGAAGGCGTTTTAGCGACGGTCGTTCCAAGTGAAGGGTTCGTCCATGCGGGTGAGTTCGTGGAGGGGGTACGAGATGTCGGGGAAGTTGCGGATAAAGGGGCGGTAGTAGTTGGCAAGACCGAGAAATGCGCGAAGTTGGAGGAGGGTCTTGGGTGGTGGATACTCGATGAGGGCAGTGACCTTCGAGGGGTCCATGCGTATTCCTTCAGCGGAGACGATGTGGCCTGGGTATTCAATGCTTGAAGCGGCAAAGGTGCATTTGTTGAGCTTGGCGTATAATTTTTTCTCTCTGAGGATAGAGAGGACTTGGGGGAGATGTTGAAGGTGGGACTCGAAGGTGGGGCTACAGACAAGGATATCATCGAGGTAAACGACGACACAAACTTCGAGGAGGTCGCGAAAGATGTGGTTGGTGGATTGGAATGTGGCGGGGGCGTTGGTGAGTCCGAAGGGCATCAAAAGGAACTCGTAGTGCGCAAAGCGAGAACGGAATGCGGTCTTCTAGATGTCCTCCTCGCGGATGCAGATCTGGTGGAAGCCACTGCGGAAGTCAATTTTGGTAAAATATTTGGCTTCACGGAGGCGATCAACAAGCTCAGAGATCCGACATAGGGGGTACTTGTTCGTGATTGTAATCCGATTCAAGGCGCGGTAGTCTATGCAAATCCGAAGTTCCGATGTTCCGATTCATAGGCACCATGCTCTCGCAGCAGGAGGGTCCAAAGTTGAGGCCCGATGTTCCGATTCATAGGCGCCATGCTCGCGCAGCAGGAGGGTCCAAAGTTGAGGCCTGTCGAGTACATGTCCAAAAAGATGCCCTCTCAGAAGTTGGCTAAGTCCACCTATGAGAAGGAGCTTTATGCGATTTACAAAGCGTTAACCCACTAGAGACACTACCTCCTGGAGGTTCTTCTACGTCAGGACTGATCATCAGACCCTGAAATGGATGAGAACCCAGCCTGTGCTTTCTGATGCGCTCAAACGCTGGATCGAAGTCATTGAGCAGTATGACTTCGAGCCCCAGTACATCAAAGGAGAGTACAACAAAGTTGCTGATGCGTTGTCGCGTAGGTCGGACTTTCTCGATGCGTTGATTACCGAGTTTGGGCTTGCGGACGATGTTACTCGCTCTTTGGTGGAAGCTTGTCGCGAGGATCCGTTTATGGTTGAGGTCATACGCAGACTCGAGGCGAAGGAAAAAGCGACTTCAGCCGAGTTTGAGTTGGTCAACGGCCTGCTGTTCCTTGAGAAGGCCAGGAATAACGTTTGTGTGCGCCTAATCGGGAGTCTTTGCGTAGTTAATTTTTAGGAGAGTGCCATGATGCCACCGGACATTTTGGATATAAGAAGATTGCAGCCAATGTGCTGCAACATATCTGGTGGCCCACGATGATGAAAGATGCCAAGCTGTACGTGGAAACTTGTCAAATGTGTCAGAGGGACAAGCCACGTACACAGGCCCCTCTTGGGCTTATTAAGCCCCTTCCGATTCCGGAAAGGCCCGGTGAGAGCCTATCCATGGACTTCATGGACACGCTGGTCACGAGCAAGAGTGGAAAGAGACACATCTTTGTCATTGTGGATAGGTTTAGTAAGTATGCTAGATTAGTTGCAATGCCTGAAAGAGCGAAGACCGAGTACGTCATTACGCTGTTCAAGGAAAACTGGGTCAGAGACTTTGGGCTTCCAAAGTCTATTATTAGCGACCGGGATGTCAGATTCACAAGCGAGTTGTGGAAGGCTGCAGCTGCAGAACAGGGTACACAGCTGCAGATGACCTCCGGGAATGACCAGAGGCAAACGGGCAAGCGGAGCAGCTGAATCGCGCTGCACAACACCTGCTGAGACACTACATCAAACCCAATCAGGTGGACTGGGATGAGAAACTTGCGCTCATCGCCAGTCTGTATAACAATGCGGTGCACAATGCAACAGGGGTGAGTCCTAACAGTCTGTTGCTAACTTTTAAACCTAGACTGCCCTTAGATCTCCTACTACCTGAGAACCAGCCTTCTGCTGCACCAGGCACTCTGGAGTTTGCATATCGATATGAGCATCTGATGCAACTAGCTGTCGAACAGATGCACAGGGCGCAGGCGGCGATGATAGAGCATGAAAACAAGCACCACCGCCCATCTTCATTCCAGGTAGGGGACAGAGTCTGGGTCAAATCCTCAGAACTAGGACAAGAGCACGGGATATCCCGCAAGCTCATGCCACAGTACTTTGGACACTGGGAGGTTCTAGATATCGTCGGGGATGATCCGGATGGTAACCTTTGCACTTACCCAGCCTTTTACGCCTCCAAGCTTGCACCTTTCGAAGAAACTGATCAGTTTCCCTCACGACGCTCAATGCTGCCCCCAACCATGGATGGAGAGGTCGACATCGATGACATCGTGGATCACAGGGAAATACCAGTTCCAAGACCTACAGGCAGGGACGTCCTCCGCAACCGAAACTGCAGTATCCCGTTCAGTTCAAACATCACACTGATCCTAGGGAGGATAGATGGTTTACACGGGAGGAACTGATGCAGACCACTCCACAGGTTGTCGTCCACTATGAGAAGTTGCTGCAGAAAGGAAAGCTCCAGATTGACTAAAGGGAACTTCTCAGAGGACTATCGAAGTATGGAGGAGGGAATCCGAGGCATAAGGCCCCGATGAGCCCCTTCCAACCCCGCGCGCAGCGCAGTCGGTCGCCCTAAGTGAAGGCAGGCCCAACCAAGGCCACAAGGCCTATTTTCAGGCTACCATGCAACTGGGGAAAATTCAGGCAGTTGCGCAGCGCCAGTTGGTTGAGAGCGCCCAGGCCCTGGCTGCCTTTCTCGTATGCAACTGTGGCAGGCCCTAGGCCAGATACACAAGATGGGCCGAGCCCGGGCTGCGGGCAGCTGGGCACAAGCAACTGTCACAGGCCTTGGGCCTGATTCGTTAGGGCCGAGGCTCAGCCTCTCGGGTCCTACCGGAAGCTTGTGGGCCAAGGCCCAGCACAGCCTGACCGCACACAGCTAGCAGGGCACTTCCATTTAGGAAAGGACCTGCCCCCGCATTCGGCATTTGGGCACTGGCTGCATGTTGCGCAAGCGCTGCTGCGCTAAACGCTGGCCAGGCTCATGCACTCACGGGCGAGCAGGGAGAGGCAGGCAGCCATAGACGAGCTGCGCTGCATAGCTGGAGGGGGCACATGGTGGTCCTTGGGTGCACGTGGCATTTGTGAGTGGGGAATCGAGGTTGTGAGTGATACGAGAGACATACCTGGTGCTTGAGGCGAACGGCATTGGCCGAGATCTGCTCGTACTTCGGGGAGCTGTTGACGTCACCAGCGGCATTGTAGATGGGCTAGATAGGATCTGCCATTTGTAGTCTGGGCGCAGAGCGCCAGATAGGATGTCGACATTGGTTCTTTGTTGATTATGATGAGACTATTCGAACATTGTCACTTATGAGCTTTTGCTGTGCTCTTATTTGGTGGGACTCGTGTTGCAATTCTGCTTTTGGTTCGAGGTCACAACTATCTGGTCTCATGTGTATGATGCGGCTTGGTTTCTGAAGTTCGCTATCGCTCATTTTCCTTGCATTACGTTTTCTTCCTCGAACTTCGAAAATAATTTTAATTAATTGCTTTTCGAAATTTTTGTAATTCGAACATATTGAAACAGTTTTCACCTGTCAGCAGTAGCGAGTGCAGATCCCAGGGCTCGATCCCTAGTTCTCACCTTACCTGTGTACAGTGTCTGTGTTGACCCCGAGTGTTTGAACCCGTGACCTGTGTTTTGACAGTTGTTGTTGTCTGTCGTAGGTCGGTGTAGAGGTAGGGGTTTGATCTGTAGACCTGTCGGATAGGAGTCCTAGTGAGTTCTAGAAGTCGTAGCTGTAGCCTGTCCGAAGGGTCAAGGTCGTAGCTGCTACAGTCCTGAAAGGTCAAGGTCGTAGCTGCTACAGTACCGAAAGGCCAAGTCTACAGACTTCCGGAAGTGGCCTTTCGGAGTAGGCTCACGTTAGGCAGAGGCAAGTGGGCAAGTGGTGGAGCCAACCTCAGTGTGTTGGCAGTGCAACTGCAGTGAGGTTGCGGTCCAACCCCATGCAGTCAGCGGTACGGTCCAGTCAGTCCCAGTCCAGTCCAGCAAGTACCATACGGGACTGTGTGCACAATGGGCCGATGGGAAAGGGGCCAGACCAGCGAGCTACAGAAGTATAAATCAGGAGGCAGCGCC